TGTGCCACCCACAGACACACAACAGTCATCACTCTGATCATTCAGCTGGGCTGATGAACGAGGTGGGGGATCAGAGAAAGAGTTTCTGCCACTGATGAAGATGCCAGGGTAAAGTCCAGGCAGGGGATGCTAATACCAGTTATACATGGACCATTTGGGCCAGTGTTCCCTGTGAATGTGTTAGAAAGGCTTTTGATTTTACTTGTCTTGCTTGTCTTAAGGGTTATATCACAGTTGTGGAGGCATCAATAGTAACCTGATTTAACATTAGCACTGAATCAGGCACTCACAGGGTACAGCTGATTCACAAGATAGTCAGATACTCTTTGTCCCTCTTCGTCTGCTTACCAGTAAAATGACGTGTGTTGATGGTGGAAAGACGTCCAGACATGCAAAATTGGCACTGAAGACATTATTAGACAAGAATAAAAGGAGAGTTCAAAATGGTCAGATGATGTTTTTCCTTCAAGGGTTCATTTAGCTCTGCTTCTGTGTATCTGTGGGCCAGAGCTGGAGTAGTGCAGTGGAGAGTTATGTTGTGATTGTGTTGTACCTTCATCAGCATCCTGTTTGTTTGAATTGGGTTGTGTTCTCATGCCAGTATGTTTACTGTGCTAAATGTTTGCCTTTGTTTTTTTACATTCTCTCTGTGCTAAAGGTTTGCCAACTGGAACACTCTGTGCTCATGTCTGATTTGGAGTCAGCAGAATGCTGAGAAAAATGTATTCTTCTTACTTTTGATACTATGTCAAAATAAAAGCCTCCAGACAGTGTTACAAGTAAAACAAATACACAGTTGATGCCTGTTTTATAGCTAAAAAAGAAGACATTTCTGCCAGAATGGATTACCAGAAGTAATCAGTGAGTCCTAATCATAAGAACTAAAAACAGCTGAAGGAGTTTCACTGGGTGGAATGACAGTAATTAATAATAATTACATTATCTGCCTTTATCCCCTTCCCCCTGGATCAACCCTTTTTAATGACATTACTACTACAGGGAAACTTGCCAAATAATAAGTGGTATCTTGCTGGCGACAGTCATGAAGATTTGAATTATGTGCCAACAGTAATGCCTCCTTTTATAAGCTGATGGGCAGAGGATCTATGTCAAGTGAAAACAACCAATAATTTATCGTTGATCTCTCCTTCACTGATGCAAGGAGGTAATTATCCAATCTGAACCAAAGCTGTTATTAGTGTATTCCAAAGCATGGATCACAGCATTTCATACAGGATGACAGGGCAGCCTACAATGAGAGGTTGCCATGTGAGCAACCCTGCTGAAAGGTATAATATCATGATGTAGCTATGGCTACACACTAGTGGCTGGAGCGTGAGTCACAGAGGTGCCTTGGTGCCTTCAAAGATCCTTTTCATAGACGGCTGCTTGCTGGCAATGTCCGCAATGAATGGCTTTCTGCGTGGCTCCGAGTGGGCGGCTTAGACAGAAGGCACAGTGCACTCACCCTGCATGTGTGTCTTTCTGTGTGGGTGTTTATGTGTGTTCGAGTGTCTGCCACCCTCTCAGAAAGATAAAGGTCTGTAACCAGATGATAGCACAGTATTGTCATCAGCCACGCGTACAGTACGTGTGCTGCTTTTAGTACCACCGTCGTCAGTGGAGCACCTCACTGTATATACTATGAGACATAAGCAGTCCTCGCTTTTCTATGTGATGCACTGCTGTCTTTCCACAATGCTTAGCTCATCTTATGTGCTTTGAATCCCCAAGTGTGGTATCTGAACCTGCAGCCTTCGCTGATCATCTTCAGTAATAATTGCACACTCTAAATGTACTGTAGTTGCTATGTATAGCCACCGCTAGGCAGTTCTTGCAGTTGGCTTTATGAGTGTTTTATTACAGCAAGAATTACCTCTGACATTAAGCAGAAGTTTGATTTTTAATGCTTATTTGGAGCTAATCAGAACAATGTGATGTGGGTGAAAGCTTTTTAACTTCTGTGCGCAATACTAATAAATTTACACCTCAGTGAGTTTAATAAATGCATCATTATACTGTATGTGTGTGTGTCAGTCTAGGTTTTATCACCATTGTGACTTGATGACAGCTGTGAATGCATGGATGTCTTTTTCAGGATAAGATTAGCCCAGAATTTAGCCTTGGACTACCTGACCTCACACCTCCAGTCTGAACACAGCTGAAATTGTCCGTGGTATGATGAAGGGCACCGCTTGACAGAGGATAATGTGATATCTGGCAACTACAGTACTGTAGAAACAAACAAGAAGAAACAGCATAGTACATATGTGGATATGAGTGGGAGGATTTCATTCTTTGTTCCTTCCTCAGCCTTTTGAGGTTATTCAGTTTACTGCAAATAATGAAGGTTTTGAATACTGCATTGAATTATGCCACTGTTTTTATATTGTTGGAATTTCCATTACCATGACAGCCCTGGTGTCAGCACCTTCACACTAGACAAGAACGAAGACCAAAGACAGACAAACCTAATTTATGTAAAGACCAGGCACAATGGATCAAAGGAGGTAATGGTTTCACATAACCGACAAAGTAAGTGCTGAGGGTCTGTGGTGTGTTTGCACGTGTCATCATGTGCACCCGCCTTTATTTTGTGTCTGAGTCTGTGATCTCTGTCGGGTGCAGTGGTGGTGCTGTGTTCTGTTTGGGATGAGGTCCAGGGCTCAGCTTCAGCACCAGCTCCCTCTGTCATCACACACAGAGTCACACACGCCCATACAGTTTCTCCTTTGCACACGCATGCACAGCACCTGCCTACGCATTGTCTCTCGTCTCTCATGAACGCGGATACACGAGACTCACATACACAAAGCTTTTGCTAATGTTGGTGGCTATGCATAAGGCTCCAATTAGTTTTGACACCTCTGAGGTTTTTGGTTGAGGGGTTCAGTGCTGATGTTATTCCTCTGGTCTGAACAGAGCTGTTTGTATGTGTGGTCTTCAACAACGTGTACATCTCTGTGGATTTATACCTATGCTGATGTGTGTCTGGGTGATGCCTGTTGTGTGTGTGATTTTAGTACGTGTGGGCAGGTGTGGTTTTGTGCATGTGAACCATAACTGGGGGAAGCAGGGGCTATCGGTGACTTACTACAGCTTTAAGACCAGGGTGTGGCAGTCAGTCCCATGTGACGTGCAACTCATTACACAGCTGATCCAGGGTCTCTGTGAATGTCAGAGCCTTTATCTGATGGCATATGTCTCATAAGGAAAACATCCTAATTCATATTTTTCTGTGTTTACTAATGTGAAAACAACAATTACAAAGGCACATATAGTGTTTCCAGACATAATATCCTTTGTGGTGGAGCTTTCCTTGAAAGAAAAGTCATTGTAACAATACCAAGTGGGTCTGATGCCATGATAGCCAGGTTTTATTAGATTTTCCTTTGATGAGACTTGAAGATTATTGGTTATTTACACAGGGAGCCAAGCATATACCTTGAGCTGTGCTTGATTAAAAGTCCTTCTGTGTTTGCCTGATCTTCTGAAGTAGAAAAGCAAAGCTGTCAGTGTGGCTATAAAGACTTGAACAGGTTGAGTAGCTACTTCAGATCCCTGTAGCATCATGAGTAACACTCTGTTATGTTATGTGCTTTACTAAGAATAGTATGAATTTAATCTATTATACATATTGATTTAACTGGTTCAGAGCTCAGTGGTACTGACAACACAAAAACATTGCAATATGTTTGGCCATAACCATCAACAGTAGGACAATATCTTGGGGATCGATTTTTCTCTGCTTTCAAATTCATATTCATACACAGTAAAAACAAATACTGAAAAACAAAAGTAACATATATGATGACTGTGGACCAGGTAGAGACATTAGTAGTAGTTGTGGCTCGTTCAGGAAATACAGCACAACAGCCTAGTACTTTAAAAAATGACTGGATATTTATTTTTTTAATATATCCTCCAGCCCTACTTGAGCTTCACTCTACTGCCTGTTTCTTAAATGAGGGCACCATATCTTGTCAATTCTAATACAGGTCACTGCACCCATCAGCCGGCTACGGTGCATTAGACATATACAGTACATGATTCTGCCTTGTTGTTTAGTGTTAGCTGTTAGATTCAGGACTTGATATGATTTTTGCACTTGAGTAATTAAACTCAGTCATTGTGTGAGGTCATGAGAGAAATTAGAGAGGTGCTTATATGACATTACTAATTGGGCCACTGTGGCGTGGCTCATAGAGATGAGGGATATTTGGACCTCATTCTGATTTAGCTTCATTTCCCCCTGCTCTCCTTCAGCTCCACTAACACTTGTCATGTCATGGCAGCCATGTTGTGTCCTACCCCTTCAGTCTTCTTGGCCTTTCCATGTTCCATGTTTCCTCTCTGTACTAATTCATATCACTTCAAACTGCCCACATCCTTTTACCCACTCCATCGTCACCACAGTCTCTTTCTCCACAGTATTCTGCCCTTCACTTTGTTGCTCCCTCCTGACCTCTCTTTTCTCTTCCACCCACTCTCCCTGTAATAAGTGCTGCAGTGAGGATCCATATTGGAGTATTGTGCTTGGCATTAGCCTCTGGGTTGACAGTGTAATTGCCTTCATCCACCAGGGTCTCTGTAAGACTGACCTCACCAGCGCTGTATTTGCATTTCCAAAAAGCTACAGGGATTTAGTCATGGTGGCTAGATAGAGTAGTTAGAATCAGAACTAGTGCCCTATCCTTTGTCTACCATCACCTTCCTCACTTCCATCTCTGCACTGAATGCTGGCTGATGTCAGTGCCCATGGTGCAGGGAGGACCAAGAAATGTCAGGGTTTTCTACTGAGGGCTGAGCACTACCTACGTCAACATTTTATAGTTTCAGAATCTGCCACGTCCTCAGGCAAACACACAACTTGCTTCTTATCAAAAGATAGCTGCTTTTCAGTCCATCCTGTTGATCAGAGACTCCAGATTTTGAGGTGAGACTGTTAATGACCGTGTTTGTGTCTCCCTTTCCCTCTCCGCTCTGTTTTCCTCACTCAGGGCCGTTGCACGCGAGAGAACTGCAAATACCTCCACCCGCCTGCTCACCTGAAGACTCAGCTCGAGATCAACGGGCGAAATAACCTGATCCAACAGAAGACGGCAGCTGCCATGTTGGCTCAACAGATGCAGTTCATGATCCCTGGCACAACGATGCAGCCTGTGGTTAGTGTTGGCCTCATGTTTTCATATCACAAAATGTTGCCTGACTGAGGTTAATCTTCATACCAGTATAATTTCAGATTCACTCAGACAATGTGAGAAGTTATTGTGCAGTAATACAGTCTTCTAATGGATACTTTTCTGTTATCCATCCTCTCCAATCAGCCCATATTCAGATTACATCACAGACTAGGAAAATCATTAAATTACTGTCGTATTTGTTGTTGAGATTTCCTTGAACAAAACTGAAAACTCCACCACTGTGCTCCGGGAGTAGCTCGGTAACCAGCTGCCAGGTGTTATCGTGTTTAACTGCATCAGTGTAAGGCAAGACACACTGTAGCTGAAAAAGGATGTGCTTGCTCAGCAAAATCCTCCCAGGTTGCATGGAGGTTAAAAAAAGCTCTTTCCTTGTTTCTGTCCTCATTTCCTTCTTCTTCCTTTTTCTCTCTGTTCCCCTGACTATTTCTTTACCTGTCACGCTCTCTCCCCACCTCTCCTCTCATCTTTCTCATCCATCACTCTGCACAGCTCTGCCCTCCTTTCATTTGTCTCTTGTCTCTTTTTTTAACTTCTTTTTCCTCTTTTCCATCTCTATACCCTCTTCCTGCCTTTCACTGTCCACTTCCCACTCATCGCTTTACATTTGTGCCCATTTGTAGCATTTTTTTCTTTCTCTCGACTATGTTAATTAAGAAAAATGATCCTGAAATGATTTAAACATGAAAAGAAAAGCAGCTATTATAACGTTGTCTTTTCTTTCCATCTACAGCAGACATTTCCAGTCAGCCAGGCCCTGGGCTCCAGCACAGGTTTGAGCTACACACCATACCTGACTCCCATGTCCCACAGCATGGGCCTGGTGCCCACAGACATCCTTCCCAGCACCCCTGTTATCGTTCCCGGCAGCCCGCCTGTCTCTGTGACCACCGGCTCTTCCTCCAGCCAGAAACTTCTGCGCACCGACAAACTGGAGGTGACCCACCCAATCATAGTCTTCCTTCTCTCTCAGACAAGATGAGCATGGCAGCTAGTCATTGCTAACATTCTGTTTGAGGTCCTGAAGTGTAATTATGGGTATGGGTATGAAAGAGATGCAATAGATGAATTGTTCTAATGGCTGTTATTTATTGCTCCAGAGTCTTTACAGGATGACCTCATGCATATTATGGTTTTGATATAGTAGGTCCAAATACATGTGCACTGCCCGAAAGGATTATCTACATACAGAACTGTGCAGTGAATACAGGAGAAGAACAAGGAAACAAATAAAATACAGCTATACTATATGGAAATGTTTAGCACCGTTAAATCCTTAACCTTTGAATGAACTTTTGAATGTCACTGCTAAAGGCAAGAAAGTGGTTTTGTTTTCAAGAAGGAGCACAAATCAGACTTCTTGCTTGATAGTTCTTTACCTCTCCTTGAGCAAAAGTCAAGGAGTATCTGATTGTGTTATCTCCTACAGAAATAATTAAGGCTGGTATCAAAAATATGATGCAACAAAATGAAATCATGTGAGAATGCAGTGATTTTAACACAAACTTGTACTTGCTAGACAGTCACAGTCAGACCAGGACAGTTACTTTAACTATCTCCATCTGCCCTCTGGCAAGCAGCTCTGAATGAGAATAGCTTGGTGATTGTGAAAGAGATCTTAAAGTGAAGGGTTTTTTCCACTACATTTTTAAAGATAAACAATAATCTCCCCAAGGCCTGGAGGTGATGTGTAGGTGTGTGCCTATATGTGTTTTTCTGTGCAAGAGCTATCACTTAGCAACTAAATGAAGCTGACTCTAATGAAACAGTCTCCCCTCTGGGATAAACTCCCACACAAAGCCAGCATATGTGTCCTTTAATGTTGCATGTGTACACTGTGTGTCTCAGTCAAAAGCAGATCCCCCTGTGATTACACCCAGGACTCTGACCAGTCGAACACTGACTGGTTTAGTGGTTGCACAGTCATCTGGGCTTGACACACATTGCAGTGTTCTTATATGCTGTTAAGGTCTTTATATACTAATTTATAGTCTGTTTCACACAAGTCTGGTCTCTTATTTTTTCCTCAGAAAAGATTTAGAGCAGAATAAAGTGAAACCTTCATTTATAGGTCCTGCCATGCTGTGGATATGTTTGGGTTGTTTTTTCCATTCCCTGCTTTTAATATCATGTGCATGTTTGTTTTTCTCCTGATCTATGTGTTCTTTTGACCTTCTCCTTTGTAAATAGAGATTGGGGCAGATTTATAGACTTATTTACAGATTTATAGGAGAGCAGCATATGAATCAACAAAGACTGATAATGTACCAGATGTCCAAAGTATTTTATAGGTTGTCTTTAATTTTGTGCTGTCTTCTCCTTTTGCACGAACACCAAGTTTTGGACTCCTAACATTAGCAGCAACAGTGAAGATTAGTCTCACACACACACACACACACATAGAGAATGAGGTGCCACCTAATGTTTAAGCACTGTCATGACAATCCTATATTCTGTGTCAATCCTCTATATGCTTATGTTTAATATGAATGTTTTGCTGTTACTGGTCAATACAGTGATTGTGACTAATTTTCTTTCCTGACATACACTGAAAGCTCAGGCATTCACAGTTTTTATGTCTGTGTGTTTCTTTGTTTTCTCTTTTTCATGCATACATCTGCATATCTGTCCACATATCTGTTTATGTATCTGTCCATTCCCCCTGACTCTCCTGCTCCCAGGTTTGCCGCGAGTTTCAGAGGGGCAACTGTGCCCGCGGCGAGACCGACTGCCGCTTTGCTCACCCAAGCGACAGTCCCATGATCGACACCAGCGACAACACAGTCACCGTCTGTATGGACTACATCAAAAGCCGCTGCTCCCGTGAGAAGTGCAAGTACTTCCACCCCCCAGCTCACCTGCAGGCCAAGATTAAGGCCGCCCAACACCAGGCCAGCCAGACAGCTGTGGCTGGGGCCACAGCTGCAGCCATGGTAAGAGCACAGCACTACTACAGTACTGTACCTCATGCCTACAAAGTGGTAGAGCAGGAAACACACACATACTTGTCCTCGTAGTAACCAAACTAATCTCACAAGGTATCTGATTGTTATGATACTTAAAGTAATAATTTGTAAGGTCTGGGTGGGACATTTTATGGCACCTATATACAGTATACCCTGAACCTTCCAAGAAGAGCCCAGTCTTTTATTATAGTACTGTGGGAGGCTGTTATAGAGCATCAAGTAAACAAGATATTATTAGAGGTTTTATAGTTGTGGAAGAGCAAGTAAACACAATATATACAGCCTGACATTTACTAAGACACACTGTAATACTAAATTCGGTGTTTTTGTTGATGTCTGTTAGCAACTTTATACCACACAAAACCACATACAGGTTCACTGAATACACATGACTTTCTTACAGATCACAATCTGTGTACACATGCTGCTGCTGATGACACCCACAGTAACATAAAATGTGGAGCACTGCTTTATTACTGTATAAAACATCCCCACCCCTGCTGGTTTATTCTTGTGGACTCCAGTGTATAGTTCGCTAACAATAGTCATCCCAAAATGTATGCAATAAACAGGGTTTAGTGAGCCCATAAACACATCGGTTTAATGCTGCAAGAACAATCTGATATTACCTCACCACAGTCCACTTTAATTTTCCAATGCCCTTGGTTCATACAGAGAGTGTGCTGGCTCACCTATTCCACCCCCACCCCTCTCTCTCTCAATGATGAGTGCGGCTCTCTGCAGATCAGTGCAAATTGAATCAGGGATGGATGAGGAGGTAGCATCATTGGGGGGTGGGGGGTTTACCCTCCTCTGCCTTTATTTGGAAAAATCCCCCAACAGTCTGAGGAAGAGACAAAGGCAGTCAGACAAGTGGAGGTGCAGGCAGACAGACAGTGAGAAGGGTTTGGCAGTGTGTCATGGCTGTGCCCCTCCCTCCTCCAGGCTCCGAGTGGCTTCTTTTCAGTGGTTCTTTGGCTGCTGCACTTGCACACCTTGTACTGCGCAGCGTGCTGGCTGACTTGTTTCTTCCATGGCATGGGCATGCTTTATGCGTTGCACATACCGCTTTCATCGGCTGGCTCCATCGCTGCTTGCTCTCCCTGTCCTTCCCCCATAAGTCCACACTGTGGATGATAAGGTGGCTGTGCATGCAGGTTAGTTTCACTTGTGTACAGGGTAGCAGGCAAACATCAAGGAATTAAAACATGGATAAATAAGAGAGCCTGAGACCCCAAGGCAGTATAACCTAATAATGATCTGTCAGAGCTGCTTTCTTAAAGCTACACAAATATCTTAGCTCAACAACTTTCTCATCGGGTACACGGTGATCACCAAACAACAAGCTTAATCTTATTGTATGTTGTTAGAGTTTCTCCTCACAATCCGGTGCTTCATACTCCTCCTGAGTTCCTCATATACCCCTGTTTATCAGCTTTATGACCCAATTCCAATTTACCATCAGTAGTTCCAAGCTGTGCTGAAGGTGAGGAGGGTTAACCTTAGGACAGTGAGTTGTTTAGTCAGCACCTTTAATCCAATTTTCTTTTAGCCCTTAGCCTAAGCTGAAGCACTTATAATATATAATAAGCAGAGACCCATAAAACTGGTACTGCTGCACTGCTGCAACTATGTAATATCATTATCCATAATTCATTTTTTTAATCTAAACCAAATAGGCTAATGTGTACTGTAGCGAAGGTTACACAGTAATTGATACAGTTAACGTAAGAAGCTCTTATACTGAGATTATGTTGTGTTACTGTGCCACATTGTGTCGTCTGCCATGCTGTGATTTTCCTCCTCATTGCAAGTCGAATGCAGTCACCTTTGCTTTTCATGTCACAGTAATAGACCATCCTCCATTTTAACTAACCACGGTGCTTAAGTCTGTTAGCACTACAGCGCAGTGGCAATGCTTTTTAATAGGATTAATAATGTCAGATACCATTAGAAGATCCACATACATGAAGCAAGAGGCTTGTGCATGGATCCCTCATCACATCCATGTCATCTTTTTTCCTCTCAGCAGTGACATAAAATGTAAGGACGAAAGCAGTAAAACTATTTATTATTACCTCAGAATCATAGGTTGGCTTTGAACCAATATTACATATGTAAACGTGTGATTTACTTGCTTCTAGATTTTAAGCTATGTCAGTTGTATATAGGAGGAATGTAAAAATAAACAGAGCTCCACATTCTGTGATTGATCTATATTCTATGAAATATACTGCAAGTTTGCCTCACATTATCGAGCACACTAACAAGCCACATGCCCTTATGATGTAGATTTAGTTTGAGAATTTGCCTCTTGTTTCAAGCACTAGATGTAAATTGACACCATTAAAGAAAGGGATGTTGTTGTTGCTGCTGTCAGTTAGGATTGCTACATGTTGTAGCTGCCACAAGGACGACAGCTCTCCAACAGCCATAGTGTTTATCTGTAGTTTAAAATCCACCCATATAAATGTGTCCAGTTCTTGCTGCCTGTTGTAAGGGCAGAGGTGCTCACCCACATCCCAGTCTATTGAGGGTGTTGCAGAGATTTTTCAGCCTGAAACGTACACATGCTCACATAGAGTACTTCAGAAGCACTTTAATTATTGTGTGTGTAGGACTGTAGTGCCCTACTCAGATCTCACATACTGTAAAGTGCCAGTTCAGTATTTATAGTACTACATTTTGGTTTTGCGTAGATACTAACAAGTTGCTTTACTGGTTCAGAATTAGTTGAGGTTTCTACAAAATGCTTTCCCAGTAGTTTTGAAGTACATCCTAGGATCTTGCTTTTTTACCAAGTTAACTGTAGATGCTTTTTGCTTTTGTACTAATTCAAAAAGTAGCAATGTTTCTTGTAAAGTAAACAAAACAGTTTTTTGTTTATGTGCATGCCTATTGTTTTGTATGTGGTATACTTGCATTCAGATTATTTTTGTTTTTGTTTTTTTCCTTCTCACCTATCCACAATGCAATGCTGTCCCCCATGACGCACCTCTGCTTGCTGTTACCTGTATGTTAATACGCTTGAATCCCATTGGCCCACTGCCATCATGTGCTCGCTGCCTGCTAATTAAAGACTCAGTCGACTGCCAAAGCAATGAAGCGACCCCTCGAGGCAACTGTAGACCTGGTACTTTGACCTTTCACCTTTTGCTTTGCATGTAGCTTCTTTAATTGTACTGTAGCCACTCACAAAATTTAAGTTGGCTCTTTTGTTTTTGTGAAACCCTGTAAGACATTTTAAACTATAAATATTTATCATTTATGATCAGCATTGACAATTCTAGACTGTACTGTACATGTAGTAAATGAACAAATACAATGTAATGCTAAAATACTTCCAGTTATCACACAATTCTTTTTAATGTGTTGTTGCTATGGTGTAGTTTCTCATTGTCCATGTGATAGTTACAGCAAGTTTCCATGTTTCCCTTGTTGTTTTGTGCATGGACAAATAACAGATTTAGAAAATGTCAGTGCTGACTTGTGTAAGTATACAGTTCAAATCTACTGTTTTTCTATCATGTGTGTGTGTTTGGTGGCTAGGCGTTCCCCCACAGCATCCTCCAACCCCTACCAAAGAGACCAGCACTTGAGAAGAGCAACGGAGCGAGCTCCCTGTTCAGCCCCAGTGTTTTGCACTACCAGCAGGCGCTGGCCAATGCACAGCTCCAGCAGCCTGCTTTCTTTCCCACAGGTAAGAGCTCCAGATCCACACACAAGACACACAAATTCAGACAGCAACACGGGCACACAGATACACTCATGGAATGTGCTCAGCTAACCTTGTATCCATCACAAACTTACCTGTTCGGAGTTTGACACACTAAAGTGAGAGAGTGAGGGTGATGCACATAAAGAGGTGTACCATGTTAGTGTCAGCTAGTCACCTTTCCCTAAACTTTGATCCAGTGCCTGCCAATATAAAACATAACTGTTGCCAGGTGGAAGGGCAGCACAGGGTTCGTTCACAGCAATAAAAGAGTATGGTATATTAGCAGCTGAATATGATACACCTGTAGCTCTAACACTCAAGCAAAACAGGCCTGGTTGTTTCTTACCAAAGGTTCTGTAACCATGTATGGTCTCCAATTTGAGAAAAGAATAAAATAAGGAGTAATCCTAAAAAAAATAATATCTTATATTTGAGAAAACAGCTTTTTCACTGTGTATTTAATCTGTCCTGACAGGCGCTGGTACTGAAAAAAATATCCCATTTTAAAAAAGTAGTTTTGCCTCAGTGTTACCAAATGAATTCAGTTCTGCTCCCTTATTCCTCTTCAGCCCCATCCCCTAACAAAACACTCTCTGTCTACTGCTTCCTAAGAAACTAACAGCAGCTCTAGCCCCCAGGGTCGCCTGCTAAACAAGTTAAGTGCAGCTAATGCAGTAACCTGTAGCCACACTCATGACTCATGATGATGAGATTCCTATCCCCTGATTTTCCTTCTACCTGCTCAGCAGTCTCTTCATCTCAGTCTATGTGTGGGAAGAAGGGTCCAGGTCTTGTTTGGTTTTGAAGCCATAAACTCAGATTTGGATGGAAGCATGTGCACATCACTGTACTGACACTGCACGATGCTGCTGTTTGGCTCTGTCACTGCTTTTTGTTGGATGTTTCCTTGAAACATTTTATAGCATATATGTAAATGTACTACTTGCGGCTATGTATTTAATTGCCGGCTTTTTTGCAGCCACCCAAGACTTTAAATGTAAATAGGAAAGTAGACACTTTGAAATATGTAAAGAATATGTAAATATGTAAAGAAAAGTGGTACAAGATTAGATTGGCTGCTTCTGGACCAGTAGAAGGAAATAAAGAACATATCATATAATACAGAGGAAGTATGACGTCAGTACAGTAAGTGGCTGATTATCTATCTATCTTTGCTTTCCTTCACATTAGCAAACAGTAGCCAGTAAACTTGTAGAACCAGCTTAGCAAAATGCTAGACCTGGCCACAGTTTCATTTCATACAGTAAGTTTGCTGATGAGGGGGATTTCTCTGCTTGCTTTTGTTTACTTCTTTTTAGTGCTGGGCAATGATTAAAATCCTTAATCGTGTTAACTGCATGATTTTTTTAAATTAACTGCGATTAACTGCATTAATATGAGCAGCATTCAATAATGAATTCAAAAGTAGTGCATTGTGCACTTGTATTTTAAAGGTACTACTATATGACCAAAAGTGCAATAACATTTGGTTTGCAAACACTTTAAACAAATAAGGTACTTTTAAACAGAAGCATTCCCTTTACACAGTAGCAGAAAATCTCAAACAATGTAATCAAGCTCATATCAAGGCACGTCAATCAAGGCTCATACATGGCGTCATTCATTGCGATCCTAATAACGTTCCTCAGACCCACATCTTCCACAGTACTAATTGGCCTGCAGTTTGTAGCTATCCACTTAGCTATGGCATTTGTTAGCTTGTCTTGCTTTTGTTTATCTATATTTCTCCCACACGCTACATCGGGTAGTCTCCCAAAACCTCCCTCCCCCTATTTGTCTGGGTGGGTGATTTGCTGGCATCAGTGGTGTGTATTGCATTTAAGTGATACTTCTGACTCGAAGAACTCCGGTGATAACAACATTCAGCTTTGTACTGGCTACAAATGACTTTGGTTCTATCAACTCCGCCGTGTGGAAGAGATTTAAATTGGAAATGTCCACATAAGAGTTCTTTACTAAGTAGCTAGAAGTCGCTAAATCACGTCATCGCCTAATTTGCATAAAATTTGCATGTAATTGTAATGGACGCTGTAGGAGAGAGGAGTAACGTCATGGGAGAGACAAAAAGTGAGTAAAAACACCCTAAATATGTTTAGTACTACAAATGAACTTTCTTCTGTTGATTCTTGGTTTGCTTGTTTTTTATTTTGCCATTTAAATAGGCTGTCACTTCTCAAAATAACTTTATGACTTTAATGCTTTGTCTAGACCCACATTACATAAATCAAATTTGTCCTGTATTGGTAAATGCTAGAATATCAAATTTAATCAATTCACCCTCCTCCTTTATCCGGCTCAGCTGCGGCTTTGCGCTTGCGCAATTCATTAGCAGTCTGGACGCAGGGCGGTGTGGGTCTCCACTCTGCTCTGACTGCAGCTGGCACTGCTGTGCGAGGCTACTGTGAGAGTTTTGGGATGGGGGAGGGGCTCACGGCAGCACCCGCTGCTCGTTGAGGACAGTAAATGCATAGTGATACGTGCTTTCACGTCATTCTCCAAAACACCAGAAAAGTCTCCAGTAACACCAGAAAAAGTCGCTAGATTTGTCGCTAGTCGCTTTTTTGACAAAAAAAGTCGCCAAGAGGATTTGGAAAGTCGCCAGATTTAGCGAGAAAGTCGCAAAGTTGGACCAGTTCACCTGAGCGCTGCAGCGGTCTTAGGCCCGCCTCAAATGCTCTTATTGGTTGAGACACGTGATGACGCCCATCTCAAGCCAGTACTGATCAACACCCCGTCCCTCCTATGACCCATGGTGTGTCTGTATGTGTATTCAGAGCCAGTGGGCAATGGACTTTCAAAATAATAATAATAATAAAAATAAACTGCGTTAATGCGCGATAAAATAATTGTCGGCGTTAATGAAGTATTACGTTAACGTGAAACTAACGCGTTAACTTGCCCAGCACTACTTCTTTTCTAACTGGCTGACAGCACCATTGGAAGAGTAGCATCTGAGCTGAGCAAAGTCTTCAAGCTCTTTATTGTCTTGTCTAACCTTGTTGTTCTCCTCCCTCTCAATTAACCCATTTATTTGTCCCCCTCTCTGTCTCCCTCCCTCTCTCTCCGTCTTTCTCTGCATGAACACAACAGGGTCAGTCTTGTGCATGACTCCTGCTAGCAGTCTTGGTAGGTCCTGTTCTTCCCTTTGTTTACACGCTGTTTGATGTAGGTGGGCATTTGGGGGTGGAGGGGTGAGTGGGCATTATCTGCAGCCCTTGCAGGTGAGACAAAAGGTCATTGCTTCACCACATCACCGCCTGCAGTAAAATGCACTGTGGGAAATTTTCATTTAACTGTCAGTTTTTCTAGGCTGAGATATGAAATCCATCTTTCATGCCCATTTTGTATCACCTGAAAGAGTTGTGCCTTTTGTTTCCCTACCGACCTTCTTGCAAATGATTGTTTATAATTAAAATGTTAGTGTGGATAAATGACTGTAAACTGGTCTGTTCCTAAGCTGTAGGATAGCTACGTACTGTTTGCTGTGCTTTGTTAATCAGGACATTTAAATCAGTTTCCCAGAGAAATGACATGTAACTGGAGGATTTATCTCTGCAAAAAGGGGAGGGAAATTACACAAGCCCCCTGTCGGCTAATCAGAAGAACCTACATTGGTACAGTGATGACTAAGACTAATGATTTTTAATATACAATCCATCAGAGTTGCAAATTTTAGTGTGCGAGATGAAGGAGCTGTCTGGGTTTTGGCATCCTCCTGCTGTTCAGCTTGTCAACCCACAAGGAATAAAAAAATAAAATTCCCATCCCTGCTACCACAACTGTCATTGATTCATTGTAATTGGTGTCCTGTGCCCCTTTAACTTCTCTGGGAAAAACTGCAACCTGATTTTCCATATGAATTTCCTTACTTGTGATTGTAATCAGCTTCTCTCCTCTTGTTTTTTTTTTCTCCCATGCTCTCTGTTTCCTTCTTTCTTTCCTTCTTTCTTTCTTTCTTTCTGTCCTCCTTGCTTTGCATTGTGAATGGTTGCATGCCATCTGCCGGTGTAACCCTAACGATGGCTTGCTGGCTCTCTGTAACATCCGCCACCATCACCACCAACAACAATAAACACCATCCACAAACACACACACACACACACCCACCGACCCACACACACACAACTGTTGCCGTGGTTACCATAATGCTCCACCTACCTGTCCATTGCTTCCACCTCCTCCCCTCTCCCCATTCGTCCTCCTCCTTCTGCCCTCCCCCAACTTCACCTTTCCCACCCTCAAAACAAAGTCCCAATGATGTACAGTGCTACGCCTGCTACTGTCTCTGCAGCAACAACTCCTGCCACAAGTGTCCCCTACGCAGCAACAGCACCAGCCAATCAGGTTTGCTCCTTTTAAAGCTTTCTTTCATCAGTCCCTGGAGCTCTGAATAAGTCCTGCCTTCTAATAGTGAGTTGCAATAACCTGCAGCTGAGCCCAAGCCCAGCTCCTCCCCATCCATCCAGGCGCCTGCACTGGATGAGCTCACACTGGCGTGAAAGCATGCGAGTGGGTGTTTTCCAGAGAATTTAATGCAGAGGGGCTGCTTGATCATGCCGGTGCCAGTGCCGTAGTCACATTTCTCAGAAAATGCCATGTACAGCCCCATTAGCAGCTCCCAACAAGCACTTCTTCAGAGCTCCCACATTTGCAAAGTAGTAGTTGTGTTGTGTTGCACTACTTCCTGGTTTTGTTTTGTTTTGTTTGCATGTTCTAAGTTTTATTTTCCACTTTTCTTGTTGTTGTCAAATAAGCCAGCCATCTGCAGTAGGGGCATCATCTGTACTGCTTGTGTGCTATGCAAACACACACATTTGAGCAAACACATTCAGGCAATTTCTGCAGCACTTCATAGCAGCCGCCATGTTGGAGCTTTTCCTCTTTCCGCTCTTCCTTATTACCTTTTACTAGCTTGTACAATAAAAGCCTCAATAAATTACATGAGGAGGCACTTATGGGCCATGCTTGTCAGGGAGAGACACACACAGGAAAAATGATCAGAGAAACTGTCTATAAATGGACTCTGATCGACAGGGCTCCTGTTGCTGCATGTCAGCAGGAGCCAGGGAAGCAGGGCCAGGTTTGGATGCCATGTTCCCCATTTGCAACTTAGAAATTTCAGCACAATGCTGGCACTCTGCTCTCACATAGCTGGCAGTCATTTACTGGTTGTTTCATACAGAGGTGCCTTGAGGACACGTAGATCAGACGTGTTTCACACGTAGAAACGTAACTGGCAAGCAACAAGTGCAAAACTGTCCACAACAGAGTAGACATGTTCTGACTTGTGCAGATTTTTCAAGACAGAAAGAAATAGTCTCTTTTTATGTGTCTGTTCTTTAAATCAAAGTTAGGGACCGTTATCCTGATTTTCCCTCTTTGTTCCATGTCTTCTCACTACTTTTTTCTTCAATGAATATAATAATATCAACTTAAGAGAATAATGATCAGTTTTTTTAATTAAACAGTTTTAGAAAACTTAAATCTCTAAACATGCCTTTAAAGCAGTTTTTATATTCCATTTGGGAAAAAATGAGAGGGGCAGCTCTCATAAAAAAGTCACAGGTTCATTTAAAAATTAAAATAAAAGATAATTGATCATTTCTTCGAGATCCCACCGTCCATCATTAATCAGCCCAGCACCTTGTGTACCCTGTGCTTTATTGCCCCTCATAGGCCAACAGTGTGTGCACTTCCTGTGAGTCATCGTCTCTTCCTGTAATTGGCATGCAGCAGCAGTAGCAGCAGGAAGCAGAGCTGTTCTTTAAAGATGCATGTTGGACAAGGAGCCAGAGATACACTGACGTCAGCCCTCACTCTCTGTCTTTGTCTGTCCCCCTCTCTTTCTCTTTCTCTCTCTCTCTCCATCCCCACCCTGCATAAAGATCCCTCCAGGACACAGTTAACACTTATAATTACCATCTGTACTGCATACAGTACATGCCTCATTTACTGCAGTCATCCCCATTGTTTGTTTTTTTAACAACAAACAACACCCAGACTATGATTTTATTTTTTGATTTAAGGGCACATGCTGCTGACATCATTGTTTTGCTTAAGAAACTGCCTCTCGGTCTCAGACTGTGAGCTGCAAATCCTGAGTTTGTGCTAATCCTAGGTGGCTAGCATTCGCTCATAGCATCTCCTTGCTTTTTACACCTAAATCCTGGGCCAGGGCAGTTTGGACAGAACTCCAGACAAAACTATGGGCTTTATGATATTAGATATGATCTGCCTTTGCTGCATCTCAAGCCAAAAGAATGAAACCTTTCAGTGGGAGGCATCTGGTGTCTTTAGATGAAATGAAACAACTAGTGGGTAACAGGACAGACAGGATGTTGCAGACATGTTACTGAACTGTCAGTGTGACATGACAAGCAGTGACCAAGCACATCAGCCCATCTCCCAGCTCATAATAACCATAGAGACTCTGACAGTATTGCTGCTCTCGATGCAGAGTGTGACATATCAGCACCCTCTACTGTCTGAATATGTATTACATTACATACTTTACCGGCTATATGAGATCATTCTGGCTACTGAAGTGATGGCAAGATAAGTTGTTATATCAAGCAACTCTTCATCTCGAGCATTAGGTAGAGGTCATTATTCTTATCCCAGTTATTAAATTTAACACACTGGATCACTAAAATCCAATGCAATTAGACTAATAATCTCATATTAATCTGTAAGAATATATATATCACCTTTAATTATTCAGCTCGTCACGTCATCTTGCACCATCTAACTGTGTCAAGCGCTGTCTCCCTGACTTGTTCTAGGCTGAAACATGCTGCTGGAATCACTGCGCCAGATCTAAGACAAACAGGACGTGCAAACAATTCTTGGCATTTGTTTTTACCCACCTGTGGTGCCAGAAGGGTGGGGTGTACCATCCTATCTGGCTGATCTCACCCATCTGGCACCCAGTCATTTTAATTTTTTTAATTTGTTTTCTTATTTCCATATTGCAGCCTGTGCTTCACACACACTCCACCTGTGGTGACCTTCTGTGATGTGACCAGCTGCTTCTATCCTTTGCTGGCTGTCTATTATCTCTTAACAAGCACAATGCGGCTTTGTTCTGTGTTGGCTTGCTGCCAGTGGCGACCACATGATGGTGGCCTGCAGCTTTCTCCCCAGACAATCTCTCTCTCTCTCTCTCTCTTTGTCATTCCTTTATCTCCTAAAATGACAGCACATACAGAGGTGACCAGACCTGGGTCAAATGCTGTTCAGAAATCAAATTAGAAGCTTTTTCTCTATTTGCATGAAACACCAGTCAGGCAGTGTCACCACAACTGGCGAAGTCCTTCTACCTAAGGCCTAAAGGTTTCAGTGCGCTTCAAAAACCCTCAAATGTGTGGTCTGATCATAAAGGCCAAAGTATTTATACCTTTTTAAAGTGGTGTCATGTTAAAGTGGAGCAAACAGCATGTGGTCATAGCCTCCTCCTGGCTGCATCACAGAGCATGTCCAGTCTCTGTTCTTTTGCTTTTCAGTGGGGATAACAGTGCAAACCTTCTGAAGTCTCTACCTGAGGATATTTATGATACACACAAAACTGCAAAGAACTACTTGTAGTTCTCTCATATTTATCATATAGGATACAGTTTTATTCATTTTTATTGTAACATATTTTTAAAATGATGCTTAATTTGTGGGTGGCAGTGCAACATAATGTTGTTCTGATGTTTGTCTATTTGGTGAATAGCTGAATGACAATAAAGTCTTGAATCTTGGAAAAGTGACTGAACATAGTTAAATGAGGAATGCATTGTTTGGTCTGGATCATTCAAATTCTGGGTCCGATATTCATGAAGTGATCTCATTATAGCAGTTGTAACAAATGCGTTCAGACCCTTTAGTGGTTTTGGTCCCGTGACAGACAGATTCTGGAGCTGCAAGGCCTTCTGTGCAAGTCTGAGCTGAGGCTCCTCCAGCCACTTGCCAAATAGCTGCTATGCTACAGTGACTGGAGTGTCTCATGTGGCATTTACAGTAGTGATGATCACTTGATTTTGAACCTGAATCCACACAGGTCAAGTTCAAATCCTGCCTACTTTCACACCTCCACACAGCTTGGCGTGTCTGTTTTGAAACATTATCCCACAGATTTGGCCATTGTAAAGGCTGATTCATACAGTGTTAGGTAATCCCAAAATCACTTGGTTTGAAGCACACTGAAGTCTGTTTGACAAAACATCTTAAGGAGACACCAAACAAAATAAAATCATCAATTTCAATTTCTCATGTTGTTTATTCTTCTATGTTAATTAAAAATCAGTCAGAATGTCACTGTGACAGCACAGATTGTGTACTGTACTTTACACAGCATACACTTATGGCCTTGGTGGCTTGTGAGTAAATAAACGTTCTCTGTTCCACATAAACTAATCTTTTCTTGCCTCTGTCTCTCCTCTCCAGATCATCCTGAAGTAAGCATCACGAAGGGAACGGAGTGTCACGAAGCTGCACTAGGAAACCCAAAACAGCCCCTGTGTAAATACTACCTTACCTCTCCTGTAGAGGTCCAGCAGCCTGCATGCTAAGAGTGTAACACTTCAATTAACCATAAGAACTGCAGTGCCGGTGTAACACACACAGAAAAAATATACTGTATGTATTGCTAGAAAAAAAACTATTAACATGAAAAAGTAAAAATATTCTTATGTATAGTTCTACATACATAACAGACACACTATAGAGGTCATCTTAACAACTGTTCTCCTAAAGTACTGGGGATCTCCTCTCTTTATATGTATTGCACAATATTCATCCCTTTGGTTAGTAAAAGATGCTCAGTTTGCACTATATGAGAAATATAGTGCTTAATGTGTAAAGCAGGAAAACAGGAAGAGTCAGAGAAAACCTGTGCACAACCACACCGACACACTCTGGTGGTTTTCGTATTGCAACCTTTGTTTTATCTCTCTACCAAGTTGAATGTCCATGGGGCAGACAAGCTCATGTTTTCTTAGCTGTCCCTGTGAGGGTTCCTCTGGGGCCTTCACTTGCCCCAGATGCTGTTCAGATGCCATGATGAAGCTTAGCCTTCCCTCCCCTCTGCCAGCTTTTCATCTCCCGAAGCATCTTGCCAAAGTTGCGGCTTGGAAGAGGTCAGTGGAATCAACCCGCCACAAAGCAGAGCCACATTTTAACACCCTAATAAATTCTTTTGTTTCTTTTGCCATTGCAAAAGCTGCTTGGAACACACCCTTTATTTGTTGAGGTGCTGGGTTCAGTTCTTTGTTTGAGAGGAGCAGAGGGATAGTTTGTGCATGGATTTTTGCATGCATTTGGGACAGGGCAAGATGGTGCCCAGTGTTGACAGAAGACAGTCGTGGCCATTACTGAAAAGCCTAAAGGCTTGGGTCTGTGCCAAGGGCTTAACAAAGCTTGAGGGGTTCATTCCAGACATACCAAGCCTTGTGTGTGTGTGTGCATGTGTGTTCGTATCTGGAGACTGATGGTCTGCCGGCAGACTGGGACTTGAAGCAAGGTCTAGCAGGTGATGACAACATCAGGCCTGGTAGGACAGTTTTTGGGGGGTGGGTGTTGGGATTTAAGTGCTAAGACAAAAAAAAAGGTGCATTTGACGATGCTCGTCAATCAAAAAGATGACTTGAACTTCGACTGGAGGGCTATCTGTGACCGTCGGTTGTCCTGTCCAACCCTACTATCACCGATAATCCTGTTCCATTTTAGAAAACTGTAGAAGTGCCTAAAAATGCTCATCGACACCACATGCATCCAGAGTGTATCACTAAAAGTCACAGACAGACGTTGTCAGAAGCTACATGGACTTTTTGGAGTAGACATCTCATATTTGCAAGTTGTTCCTGGAAACTGTTTTGTGGTTACTGTTCATTAACATCACAAGTGACTTTACTGAAGCATTAAAAAGTGAAAGAATCAACAAATCAGAAATAGCTTTGTAGGATGTTTAGTGACTGTCACGGTGTACCATTGTTCCTTACCATGGTCTGAGTAGTTTACATGAGGAACGTGAGTGAGAAAAAAAATGTATTGTAAACTGTGTAATGTATGTTAAGTGTCTCTTATTTTGAGAGTTTATATTCATGGATTTAGAAATCTATTCAAAGTTATTTAAAATGTGTGTTGTTTCTATTATCAAGGTATGTTTGAATTCCCTCAAAACCCTCCGCCACCATCACCACCACATCCCAGAACAGTTGTTTGTTTTTTTGCCAAGATCCTAAATCATTCTTTTGTTCTTTTAAACTCTTTAGTTTTTGGATTTTACAAACAGCATGTTTTAACTTTATTTTTCAGAATTCTGGTGTAATTTCATGGTGCTTGATTAACATTGACAATCCACAATCATACCATTGGAACAAGAGTGCTTCGCTCTGGTTTCACCTTCATTCACTTTGATTGACTGTCTTCATGAATTATAATTTGTATGTAATATTTGTGGAAGGTGGTAAAAGTTCTGTTTTGTTGTAATTTATCTTACGTTACTCTTGGTCAATTTTTAGTCAAAACCGATGTTGTAAACTATTCTATTTTGAAATGAATGTAATTTATTGAGCTGTGCTACATTCTGCACGGTTGGTCAGTACAAGGTCTAACCTGTCAGGTCAGCGAATGAGAAGGCGCACACGTCTGAGGGGGTGACGTTTAAAGGTCAGCCCACCAATACAGGAGCTACTGGATCTTTCTTGCCTTCTCATCGATAAACAGATCACGGTATTGCAGTAATGAGCATAGTTATAGAGTTGCTTGTGTTGTTGGGAAAAAATGTTTATTGTATAGATGACATTTTACCAAAAAAAGAGAAGAAAATTTCAAAAAAGATGTACTTTTCACTCTAGTATAATAGTATTTCATAACAATATTAAGTTGTTGCTGTGGCAACCAAATGTTGCAGTTACTAAAGTTCGGTATTTTTGTAAATGACATTGTTAAGTTGAATCTTGTTTCTTTTTGCTAGAACACTGTACACAAGGTAGATTGTAAAGACAATATGGACATTTCTTATTCTTCACTGAGATTATAACAATGACCTAATATTTTCATTAGCAGATAACAGCCTCTGTAGTGCTGTGACTGTAACATTTTATGGACCTCTGGGTTCCACACAGGCATATGTATCACTAGAGTTAAGGATTGCACTTTTCATGTGATCTGTTCTTCACTTCCTTTCAGAGGTGTCTGCACCCTGCTACTACAGTCAACCTGCTTATCAGTCTTAAGCAGATACTCCCAACTTCAGTTCAACATGTTACATGAGAAACCCATTTTTTCTTTTCTTGTTAATGATACTGAATGTTTCTAGTGAGAAAAAGTCTGTACACAAAATGTCCTTATTGGGCGACCCACAATGCCCTTGTGTATGGAATCCTTTTCAGATGTGTTGGCAACGATTGACCGATGGTTAAAAAGAAAAATATGAGCACTTTCTGAACAGTTAGTCAACTGAGCAGACTCCGCTTATCCAAACACTTTGCCTTATCTTGAGTCTATTGTGTTTAAAGTTGTATGTTTAAAGAGCTCTTATGGAATTTATTAGAGACTTGAATAGGTCTCTCTTCTCCCTTCTCAGTTTTATTTGAAATAAAGATCTCTAAATAATAAAGATAAATTTAAAAAAAAAATTTAAATGTGCGCATCATAAGGCCAGAGGGGGTGACAGCAACAGAGAGAACAGCCACTGATCTGTAATCTGGTCTTCTGAATCTGCAGCGAGGTGTTTTTGTCCAATTGCCTTACAGTGGACCTGTTTTGAGCATGTAATTCACCGCTGCCACCAGCAGAGGGCACTAGAGTGGAGACGACGGGTTAGTGACTGCCTGTGCCATCATTGTTGCAGTGTACACCACCAACAAAGTAAAGACATAAACTGACGTGAAGATCTCCATCGAATTTATAGTTTCACTGTAATCATTTTTAATTCTAGACCTATTCTTTTTGCATATATTTTGTGCTATTTTATGTTTCTATAGTCAAACGTTTCTTTGGTTCCAGCAAGATAATGTAAAATCTATTGAAAGAAAAAAATAAAGAAAATCAAATAATTATTTATTTATTTATTTATTTTTGGCCTGGATCTTTAATTTGTGTCATGTAAAGGATATGTATATGTGCAATTAACAAAGACCCAGCAGCCTGGTTGTTCCGAAGGAGGAAACTGTGATGCTGTTATATAGCCACATAGTTTTGATTTTTAATATGGGACATTTCTTCCAGTTTATTACAAATTTGGTATCTCTTAACCATGACCACAATTGTTTGCTGACCTTAACTATAGCCAAAACTAAGCTTGCAAAATAAATATTTTTGCAACAGCAGTGTAATGGATTAGATCACAAAAATACATGATGATTGAATTTTGTTATTTGTCTTTGAGAGTGCTGTTTGCTAGAGATGTAATGATACTGAATATGATACGATATTTCCATGATAGAAATTCCACGATATAATATTTAAAATGAAAAAAATACCACTGCTAAATAAGAAATCTGCATTCTATAATAAAAGATAATGCAACAGTCATTAACAGTCCTTTTACAATAATAATATACAAGTCATATCTACAGTAGATACTGTCATAGACCCACAACATTATCTAGACATTTTTCTATCAGGATATTGCGAAATTACAAATATGGTTACATCCCCACTTTACTGGTAGCATTCTTTATTGAGAACTTCTATGGTGAATAGTGTGAGCTAATTTCCAAAACAGCTTTATTCTACTGAAAACTACTTTTTTAAAAGCTTAAAACTACTCTAATGTTAAGCTCCACCTAAGTATTTTTATTTCTTTTCATAAGACTGCTCTTTGTCACAAACACCGCTCCTACTCTCACCCTCCCTCTGTGGCTCTGTGGCACTAATCACCCTCCATACCTTCCAGGAAATAGTAACATCCAGTGGATGCACCGACTCCAGAGGCGTGGATTCCTAGAACTGATGTCTTCTTAAAGATAAATAGGCTCTCTGCCTTTAACTGTATTGTTCCCCGCTGTGCAGAGAAATGTAGCGCTAGCCTTCTGTTTTTAGGGCCATAAAAAGATGTGCTGTCTTTCCAATAATAGCCAATCTTATTTTTACCACACCGACGCCTTATTGCATTGTGGATGCCTCAGGAATGGTGTCCCTTCAAGATAGCGTGGGAATATTTCAGTCGAGGCTGTGGCCGTGCACCTCAGGGCTAAATGCTCCAGCATCCTCTCATTTTGCACGCCTGTAACTGCATCTCATTTACCGGAGGTGGCTGCTGTGTCAGGGCTGTAGTCTGAGTCCAGGCTCCTGTGCGGGGGGATGTGTTTCTTTTATCCGCCAGTCAAGCCTTTATTCTCTGCATGCCGGATTTAAGTCCACGGGAGCGCTATGCGGGAGTATAAAGTGGTGGTGCTTGGCAGCGGCGGGGTGGGGAAGTCTGCGCTCACGGTCCAGTTTGTCACCGGGACATTTATAGAGAAGTATGACCCGACCATTGAAGATTTCTACAGGAAGGAGATCGAGGTGGACTCCTCTCCTTCGGTACTGGAGATCCTCGACACAGCCGGCACCGAGCAGTTCGCCTCTATGAGGGACCTTTACATCAGGAACGGCCAAGGCTTCATCCTGGTCTACAGTCTGGTGAACCAGCAAAGTTTTCAGGACATCAAGCCCATGAGAGACCAGATCATCAGGGTGAAAAGGTGAGACACTGTCACTTTATAATATAAACCACCACTGTGTCCTGAATATAGTGAGATACAATAGACAAGAGGTTATTAAATATTGTATTTGTTTTGCACACAAGGCCAGCATGGATGGACACTCAAGTGTTGATACTATAGGAGAGAAAGTTATAATCATTCCTTAACCTTCCCCAGTTCATTTACTGTGAAATCAAATATAGTGAAATTAAACCCTGGGCCCCTAAAAAAATCACCAAAGCACCAAAATCTTTATGATTTTTTTGACACAGGGATCATCTCAAACTTCCATCCCTCCGCCTCTCTCCTGCTCCTCTCTCTTGTCCTGCAGTGCTTCGTGAGAAGCTGCAACCAGCTCATGTGTTGTTCATAAGAGCCCATCTGCGGCTCACCTGTCGCAGATCAACTCGCTGACCTCTCATCGTGATTCTCCGCCTCTCACACATGACCAACACTGGATGGTTTCGATCAGTTCCGTCCATTACTCTACCAATCCACTGAGCTCATGTCATGGCTGGAAGAGTGGAAACAAATCTGTGATTTTTCCTTTTGGGAGGGACATATTGCAGTTACTGGCTTACTGCAGTGCAGAGCCTCATTCAGCTTGTTTAATGGCACTGAGTGACTCTGAGGCTTTAGCTTATCAATCTTTCTGGTTTTATGAGGGATTCAATAGATGGTGTCTGTTGGTTTTGGCGCCATGTTAAGTTGAAATAGTTCATTTCCACGTTAGGAACCTTGTCTCATGTCATCCTTCTTCTGTTTCCTTTTATTTCCTGTCACCTCTCTACTGCCCACTATCTAAATTAAGGCAAAATGCAGTTTAGCTGTTAATGAGCCAGTCATTATTAAATTGATGGGGTTTATAATGTATAAAGACATGGGAGGACAGTTAGCTAATGACATTTCAACTACTATCACTGGCCATTAATTTGGTTTTAGTAGTCTATTTGTCATTCCAGCCATCACAGTGGGGCCTCAAAATGCCATGGAGGATTTGTCATCTCTCTTGCATAATTTGCACCTTTTTATCAGTAAAATTACACAGATAAAGTATGTTTTAGAAGTTTACACAAAAAGACATTTTTACCTGACTGGATATTACAATATAATCATTTAAGTGAATGGAATTTATAATTAAATCTGGATGGTCTGGTGAAGGGCCTCTCATCTCCGGAGGGCGCCACAGCTGATGATGCATGAGGGAACTCCTCGGAAATGAATAATGTAATGGTGAACCTCTAGCCAGCCTCCACCCAAAGCAGCTGCCTACACTGCACCAACCTCCTCTGTCCTCAAGTATATATCCTTAAATAATTCAAACTTTTATTTCACACTACTCTGGGTTTCTGCAAAATGCCCTTCACTAAAACTTATTATTGTAAGATTTATAGAAATATAGATCTTTGTCAGAGGTGGAATAATACTGTAGTATTGTGTAAATAACTAGTGCTTACATTATAATTAGTCAACACAGTTTGAGAATGGATGCACTTACACTGAAACTTTGACATTGTTGTTTCATCTCAAACTACCCCTGATGTTGCCTTTGCTGTATATTATTGAACTCTACACTTAAAAGATGAAGCTGGTCATATTATATTACAGTGTTTTCAGCACTCCCAATACATTGCATTACTTATCCCCCATACGTTATCATACCTTTAAGTATAGATTTCATTTAACAAACTGGAACCTCACAATTTATCTAAAAAGTCAAGACAGTGCAGACATGTAAATTCCTGCACAGGTTTTTTAAGGATAGGCTCTGCTGGTGATTTAAACACATGCAGACCCTATTCACAGTGTCCATCTTTAATGAAACGATGCAGCACAATCAGCTCCTGGTCTCAATTAGCTGGCTCTAGGAGATCCGCCTCCCTCTTCCTAAATTTTCTGCTGAGCCAGCAGCAACAAGCCCCACACAGAGCTCTAGTACATGTGCCCACTCACCAGATCTTAATGGGATTGTGTTGGGTTAGAAGCCAAGAAGACATCAGGCCTCCATTAAGGAATCATATAAAGCAGAATGCTTATGCAGGGCTCTTGGTGGGATAAGCATGGGAAAGAAGAGCCTATATGCTAGTGTGCTTTATGTTGTTGACTTACTGTTAGTGCATGAATAGCCTATGTGCAACACAGCAGGGAGCACACTTTAAGAAGTAGTTTGACACTATGGGAAAACATGCTTATTGACTTTTTTGCCTAAAGTCAGATGAGAAGATTTGTACCACTCCTACAGAGGCGGATCTAGAAAATTTTGCACGGGGTGTCCTGGCTGGGGCAAGGACTCAGAGAGGGGTGGCACATTTAAAATATTAAAACCATACATTATTAAGAATCACACTGTTTATGTTGTTTCCAAATGAGACACATAGTGTGTTCTTTAGCTAACTTTGGCTGCGCTCCTTATTTACTCCCAGCTGGGGACATTGCTGCTGCACAGTGGCCCCCCTCACCTGAGGGGAATCGTGCCTGGTACTCCACAACAACACAACTGAAGAAATTAATGCAAATATCATGCTGCATGCATGCATGATGTAAAATAAAGTGCCAGAAAACTATATTTAAGGCAACAGTTTGCCATTGTTTTTAATTTTTCATTCACTGATACTGACAGCATCACACTTTGGGGTGGCCAATCAGATTCCAGGCACCCCTGGTGCCACCCAAAAATGTGTGACCCCTGAATCTGCAGGTGCCATTTTTAGAAGCCAGTTAGCTTAGCATCAAATTGGAAATTTGGGGAGGCGACAGTGGTGCGGTGGGTAGAGCAGTCGTCTGAGCAGAGTCGGTTGCATTGGCGCCGCAGATGGTTGCCATCGGTTCTGTACCGGAAACAAATTCCTTGTGTGTAACATACTTGGCCAATAAAGGTGATTATCCTTAAATGTGGCAAACAGCCTGTAAATTTAAATGTAATTCACACATAAAACCCAACATGTCAGAATGAATGTAACACTTCTTGTAGTTTAGAGCAGCTGATATAAGATTAATAACAATACTGTCATGGTTCAGTGTTTGCTAGCAATACTAAATCTCTATTTACATCAGGGAATTTGAGATCTGTGTAAAACGAGATTAGCTCGTTAGCTGTGCACTGCCCTTCTTTCAGCAGCAGGACTGACAAAGGAAATCTGTACATTGCTGCACTTGCAATTACCTTTCACTTAGCAAAATCAGTGAATGCACATTCTGCCATTAGTTAAGGCTCTGTGACATTTGCTGCTTGCATATATTTGTGCTAAAGCACACCACCTCTGACATACTTTACATCATCAGCACCTCACAGACACAACAAATAACCCCCTTGTCAGTTGCTATCAGAGAAAACAACATCTGGGTGTAGCCCTGCTCCCAGTCTAATCAGCTCTCTGCTTGCATGGAAAGGTTTATGAAGCACGTTCACAAGCCCTTGGACTGCGTCTTCACGGTGTGCTGATGCTGTGTCTAATAGCAGGAGTTGAGCGCCACGCGCTGCTGAGGAGGAATAGGGTGGAGAGACCAAAACTACTGAGTGTATCCCAGGGGGCACTTTGGTGTTGGTACAAAGCAACTTCCTGACCTCAGGCTATTAGGGTTTTCCATCAGGAGAGAGAGTGTTGTTAAAGCAGCCGGCTTGGTTTCAAATGTGAGCTAAGAGGAAGCCACCAGCAGAGTGCTGGTGTGTGTAAAGTGCTTGAACTTAACATATTTACTGCACTATGCTTGCAAAAGTGTTTTCACACTACGCCACCACTCATCATTCTCTGACGTGGCTTGTAGCTGTTGAGCTGCTCTCACACAGTGGTGGAAAGTAACTAAGTACATTTACTTAAGTAGTGTACTTAGGTACAATTTTGAAATATTTTCATTTTCTATTACTTCATACTTTGACTTCACTACATTTTAGAGGCAAATATTGTACTTTTTACTCTACTACATTAACTTTAGTTAGTAGTTACTTTTCATAACCAGATAAATACAGTATAATTAAAAGACTTCATTGATCTATGGTGGAAAATTCAAAAGCTACCCAGCAGCAATTTGAATTAAATTATAAGCTAGTTAACCTTTTACCAGCTGCACCATTAAACAACAATAATGCATCAGTAACTATAATACAATAAAATGTGAAATGTGCCATTCTGCATACTGAGTACTTTTAATACTTTAAGTATGTTTTGATGCTATTTTTGTACTTTTATTTAAGTAACATTTTGAATATTGGACTTTTACTTGTGACTTGAGTATTTTTACACTGTTGTATTGTTACTTTTACTTCAGTAAAGGATCTGAGGACTTCTTCCACCACTGCTCTCAGAAATCTGCAAACACGCCTGTGCATCAGTCTAGTCCAATCTAATATACACTAGGACGGTCACTCCAAAGCTTTCAGGCTCTTAAAAGTGAAACAATGTTTACTTGTAACCCCTTATCACAGAATGAATATGGCACTGAGCCACAAGTAGTTCAACCAGAGTCCTGTAGTAGGTGAATATACCACAATAAAATAAGCAAAGATCAAGAAGAGGTCTGAAAGATAAGCATAATTTCTGCAGCATTTCCTTATGTTAATCATCCTTCTTCTGATCTGGGCCTGGGATTTCCCAAATTTAGATAACTATCGCTTTATACTCCATATCCCAAGAGAACAACATTAGATAGAAAGTACATATTTTGTTCTAACAGGAAGTCAGAGCATTACAGAAGACTGGGGGGGTTGTATTTTCTGCACGGACACTATTTCAGATCCCTGATCTGCTGCACATTTCTCCAGTTACAGCAATTTAAGTGGGTTTGGTGTTGTGAATATAGGGTATTGGTTTTAGAAATAATTCAGCCAGTCAGGGTTTTGTAGGCAGGTAAAGAATGGTGACTTCATCTTCCAGAAAAACTGTGGAAAAATGAAATTGCTACAAGTGTAAATAGGGCTGATGCAGCTGTCCAAGTGGTTGGCTTTGAGAAATAACAACTCTTACAGTAAATGGATGTATTTCTTTGATATAGTAGTAATAATGTGCCCAAAAGTGTTACAAGTGCAAGCAGGAGTGTAAATAATGCAGGTTTTAAAATATAAAAAATGAAATAATGTTATGAAATGTGCCTTGTTTCTTAGGTATTTCGGTGAACTTTATGATAGTATTGTGTGAACTTCCACGCTAGCAAACAGAGTCTGGACCATTAATAACATTTATGTCTCCTCACAGTCTCATTTAAAATTGTTACTTTTTTTAAAACCAGCATAAAACTCGCCTCATTATTTCTCACATAGGATTCTTGTCTTCATTAACTGCACAGAACACCAGGAGTAATAAAACTAATGACAGCTTGTCTCTTTTCTCCCATGGTTCCTATACAATGTTTGCATCTGCAATAAAGAAAATGAAATGATGCAGTAGAGCTGGGCTGCACCATTAAAGACAGAAATGAAGCTTGGAGTTTCATTATTTAAAACAGACTCTAAACATTGTGTCCAGGCTTTTTAGCTTTTTTGTTGTTTCCTTACTTTCTTCTTCGTGTAGCTGCAATGCCAAAGCGCTACAGAAACAGCCAGAGAATCCTTGTTCTCCAGCAGTAACACCCTCTGGGCGTCACCGCAGTGTAGGCGCTATATGTTCTGTGATTTTTCTGTCCAATCCTACAAACAGATACAGGCTGGCTCTCACACTGTGTCTCAGCTCCAAACTGCTAATTAGCAGCAGATGCAGAGAGCAAAGAGGCGGCTGCAGGGTTGGGAGGCTTCACGTCCGAGATGTCTGACTGTTCTTTTGTTATTTGTGCTGTATGTGTGTTTGCTGGAGCTGGGGGGGGCTTGTGAAAACATGGAAGTGAGGTTACTGCAGCTGTTTAGCACAGGGAGTAGCCTTAATAATGCTCCTGGACCCTGAGGATAAGTGGAAAATAGCTGGAATAACACCCTGTAGAGTCAAATGGCAGTCACTATACTTTGTGTAGTGTAAAGGCCAAATGTGACTCAGCAAAAGTTGATCGAGATTCCACTTTCATTCTGAAGACGCAACATTCCAACGTGTGGCTTTTACACAAATAAAGGTGCAGATGATTAAGATGCTGGAGCTCTGCAATTTGCAGCTGAACACGTGTATCATTCTGAAAGAGCTTTTTACTGCAATATTAGAAGTCAGCACAGATTTTACCATCCATATCTTCATGTGAGTTCATAAGCTGTCAGCCACCTGCTGTTGTCTGTTGCATAAATCCAACTCTTTCTCTCTGCAAAACCACTGAAAGCAAAAGGCTGCGTTTTCACACAGCTGGTTTCAGCCAGGCAATCCAAACACATTCCAAGTGTGTTGATAATTCCTGTAATGAAACACAGCCATTTCCTGTACTGAACAAATAACAAGTTAGAAGTGTTTGTCATATGTGTAAAACCTGCCATAGTTATCACACAATTAAGAGTTAGCAAACTGTTACCCCAGGGCACTGACGGGCAGGTTCTTCAATACACACTCCAACTTACCTTCATGCTGTTCTGCAGTTTCAGTTCCTCCTCATCTGGCGAGAAGAGCGACAGATTGATGCTACAACAAACAAACTCTTTACAAACTCAGCACCCACCCCACCCCAGATAAACTGGCTCTCCCTGTGACTTTGTAGATACATAGAGTTTCTCCTGCAAGGCTGTCAGAGCACATTTGTCTGCTCTCCTTGCTCACACTTCACAGCCTCTCGACTCCGGCTTTTCGAACACACAGGCCATGCAGAGATGCTTGTCCTGCTGAGAGCTGATGTTTGTCTATATGCGTGTGTGTTGTACAGTGCAGTGGCAATGTGGGAAAATGTCAAGCTGCAGGGAAGTCTGGCATTTGAGCCTTTAGTTTTCTCTGCTTGACGGTCTTTAAATGTGTTTGTTGACCAACTGCTGACATTATATTTGCACATTTTGGGTGCGGTGAATCCCTTTGGAGGGGGTCAGGGGGCAAGCTCAACTGCAGAGTGGCACTCTAGAAAAATTACGGGCCTCAGTGGCTTGCACAAGGTCCAATGGGTGCTCAAGCGTCCCTCCCACTGCACTTATTCCCCCACCTCTCTGCTGCATGTTCTCATTTCCTCCATCTCTCTGGAACCTCTTCAGCTCCCTGAGATGTTTGCCAGCTCCTTTCCACGCTTCAGCTCTTCCCCCAGCTGAGCAGTGTGGCAGCAGGCCACCAATGTTTAGATAAGAGCCCATTTCTCAATAGCACCAGCAGATCAATAAGCCGGGCTTGGAATGCACTTAGGAATGACTAATGGTGGAGGCTATTAGGTGAACTGTGCCATTACCTGTTGTGAGAATATACAGTATACCCTAACTGACATTAATCAGTGAAAACACGAAGGCCATTGAAATGAAATGAAATATCATGTACCTGGACAAAGTGGGACCTGGATTTACTCTAGTATAATACCTTGTTGAATATCCAAGTAACTTTGCACTTTGCACACATCCTGAGTGTATGAGTTTGTTTTTAAAGGGTCACTACACCCAAATTACCAAAAGACACTCTTCATGTCCCCCCATGTAAAGGCAGCACATTAGCTTTATTCAATTATTCAATAACCTATTGCATTACTCTGCCCAGCCTGGTTTCCCTATATTGATGAGTCACAGGGAAGAGGACTGGGATTGTCAGCCACATACTGGGGGAGAAAGCTTTTGATCTGTTAAGACATGCTTTGTGTATGATGGACACGATGCAAAGTGGAAAGCTAACCCTTTGAAACAAGAAGCCATTAAAGGTACAGCTTGCACACCATGCTAACACATATAGACTGTATCCAGGGATAAACACAGCATCACTGTGTCAAAGGAGGTAGTTGTGTTTTTGGAGGTGACAGTTTCCTAATGGGACTGCTTACTGATATTAGACACCGGGGGAGTGATGGAGACCTCCTGGGAAGCTGGAGCTGAATGCAGTTCAGTTTATCCTTCTCCTCTCACTCCACTGTGCATCATTCAAAACCCTTATTGTTTGGGCATCTATCAAATGCAGTGTGTAGGCCAGTTTTCCCTCTTGTGTTAGGTAGCATGAAGTTCCTGTAACAAAATACACTCAGCAAATTTCACTGAAATCACGTTTTCTCTTGCTCTCAGGTACCAGCAGGTGCCGGTGGTGCTGGTGGGAAACAAGGTGGACCTGGAGGAGGAGAGGGAAGTGTCCCCCAGCGAGGGCCAGGCGCTGGCTGAGGACTGGGGCTGCCCCTTCATGGAGACATCGGCCAAAAGCAAGACCATGGTGGATGAGCTTTTTGCAGAGATTGTCAGGCAGATGGACTTCTGCCCTCTGCCGGACCGGAGGGAGACCTGTTGCCCCACCTGCAGCATACAGTAGCAGCCAGTCAGTCTGCTGTAGGGGTGATGGATGGGAGGAGACTAGGCATTAGAATGCAGATTAATTCCTGTTAGACAGATTGAAGGTGGTAGATTTAAAGGAAGAATCCACTCTTGCTTTCACGGATAAAGAGAAATTAAATTTCAACATTCATCACTCCTTGGACAAAGAGTGGATTTTTTCCTTGAAAGAAAAAAAACACACTCGACCTCCCACATCCATCACTTCCTCCTGATTAGCAAGACTGAATTTTCAAGGGTTTCCCAAAGGCAGCACGGTGCCAAAACCAACTTCCAAGCCATCAACAAAGAGGATCATAGTGCTAAATCCTTTTGGCAAAGCAGCCATAGGTCCAAGCAGGGATGGCAGTGTGCTCAGCAGTTTTATCGCTCCTGTTTTCTTCTGCTTGTGTATTTCTTTTTGCACTTTTGGGACTTTTTTGACAGTGCAAGACCAAACACCAAGTATCTGAAGGGATGTCAAGTAACACCACTGTGAAGAAGTCATGCTGGAAGTTAATTATACAGCAAGCCCAGCCAACTATGAATGAATAAGCAGATGAGCAAATGTCTAAAAAGAAAACTAGGGAAATTCATTCAGAGGATCCCAGATGCTGACATACTGTGGGTGATGTGTGTGTGCATGAAGTTGTACTTTCACACTGACAGTGAGTACAATCAATCTCACCCAAAGAGACAGCATCAATACATCAATCAACTGATCATTAAAATGTATGGACACTTGTCTCTAAACCTTACAGTACCTTACATCCACTTCTGGTTTCTGTTAAGCTTTTATTTGAAACAATGTAAACTGTAACAGCGTCTTAAATAATAATTTGTCCTCTGTAATTTTCTTTCAAACTAATTCATTAAAGAGCAGTTGTTTCAGCAGTGATGTGTGTTGCAGTGAACCTGTGCAGAGGCAGGATGCTGTCCATGGTTTTTAGTATGCTTTGTTATATTGTATGAAGTGAGCATCAATGTCAGTGTGTAGTTCATATATCTTAAATCACATCAGATATGTTAGTGGTTCAATATCAGAAACACTTATTTTCAACAAAATTAAATCTTATGCACAAATGAGTCAGGCTTATTTCTTGCTTCTTGTGTCATGTACAACTCTGAGGTTGCCTCTCTCCTCTTTCTTCAACCTCAGTTCTGCACTCATTGTCAAAATAACCTCTTGGTTTTTATTATTTGAGAGTAATCTGACTACATCACTGCCTATGTCGAGATGATTTATGGTGGTACTCTTTCTGTGTCCCCTGGCCCAGTGTCCTGCTGTCCCTGCTGCTGCAATTAGTGCTGACACTTACTGCTGATTCTGGTGCTGAATAATCCAACAAGAATTTGTGAAATTCCAGTTGCCATTAGAGGATGAAACTGGGGACATGTGAAACCTTAGAGCCAAGATCATAAGTATGGATTCCATTCAATCAGCGTAAGAGTAATAGTCTTCCTATACTGATGAAAGAGAGACAGGTCATTCAGAAATAAATTGTACACAGTAAATATAAAAACTTTATATTTAACAAGGGTCTATAACAATGTCAAAGAAGTAACATTTATACAGATATATATTGTTAGAGCAATGGTGCTGATACAGACCCCGATTCTCTCTCTCTCTCTCTCTGTCTCTCTGTACATCTACATTAACTATTGGAGGGTTTCCTTCACTTAAGCCTCATGAAAACTACTAGCAACAGCGACACCTGCTGTCATAAACTAGAACCTCAGTTCATTTCGTAGGTCTCATGGAATCTTGTCGCTTCTGAGTAAACGCCCTGCCCGGATCTAAATCATGTTGCACAGGAAGTAGGCATGGAGTCATGGTGGTGTCCTTCCATCACTAGTGTTTGCGTCTGATGTTTCTCCTTTTTATATAAATATACATCAAAAAAAAAAAATTGTAGCCTTGGAAACATTTGTCAGAATGATCACCAGGACGGCGTGTCAAGTTCTTCAGCGCCGTAAGTAATTGTGAGCTCTCGTTAACCGGGTAGCATTAGCATGTGAGCTAGCTAGGGTGCCAAGTTAATGACAGCTTGTAACTTAATATGCGTCCGTTTAGGTAAATAGTTTTCACGGTGGACTTTTTGACTTGATATAGCAGGAAAAGTGCATGTGCTAGCAGTAATATGCCTTAAGTGTCTCTCTATTAAAGTGAGTTAGCACACACAATACCAGAGGCTCCTCCGTGACTTCAGATCATGTAAATGTGACAGTTTTTCTTAGATGTTGTTATCTCTGTTATGTCAGAGGGCATGTGCTGACTTAGAAATGTGATAGAGAGGTACACTCAGTTGTCATTTTATTTGCTACACCGAGCTAAATCTAATGCAGCCTTATCCGACAGTCCTCCTTCTTGAAGGTGACCACGTTCAGATTTTGTTCCAGCTGTTTCCGAAAGGTGTTGGTTTATATCTGGGGACTGCAGTTTATTGAACTGTGCTGCAGAGGTGTTTCTGCTATTGAAAGTAAGTGGAGTGGGTACATTAATAGAAACACCTTTCCCTGTAATGCAATACAAATCCACCACAAAATGACATCTGAATCAACACTTCTAAAAGAAACTCAACAAAAATGGAACCTTCGTTGCATGACTGTTGTATTAGACTGGACCTTACAACCCCATTAACTGACAACTGAGTGTTTATCCAGAATGCAACTCAGTAGCTTGTTTAGTGCCCAGTGAGTGCTCACATCTATCAAACTTCACAGCCCCAGTTTAAAACATTGACTTTCTGTTATCAGAATCAGAATCAGCTTTATTGGCCAGCTGTGTCGGACACATGAGGAATTTGACTCTGGTACATCAGCTCTCAATATAAATTGTAATCTTGATTCAAGATAACCCTGGTGACAATTTTATTTTCTTCACAAAAGCTCCCCCAGGGTCCCAAGAGACATTATACAACTAAATTTGTCTAATTGGGGGCAGCCCCTATAAGTCAGTAATGTGGTGTCAAAGGTTTGAGCCTGTTTTTGTTTCTCTCCACCAAGAAGTTAGGTTTAGACATTGAACAGTCCTCTGCCATCTTTTCCTTGTGTATTCTTCTTTTCTGTTTGGATCCATCCATCCTTTCCCCTCCACAGGCTTTGCATCTGCCGCAGAGGCCATGCGTCCTCCAGTTGCCGAGGTCCGCACCTGGCGCAACACCGTCTTCTCCAGAGAGCAGGCCAGGCAGAGAGCTCTGTACCCCCGCATTGAGAAGATAGAGGTGTCCATGCAGGGCCCTGGGCTCGACGGTACACTGCTCATCATGAACAAAGGGATGTCCACTCCTCTGAGCTGTGCCAGACGTGAGTGAAAGGGAGTCTGACCAGTCTCTAAATCTCAAATAGATTTTTCTCCAACTTAAACCAGGCCTGCTTAAGCCCAGACTATGAGAGGAACTTTGTTTATGTAGTGTATTAATAATGTAACAGCATTTACAGTCTAAATAAATCCTTGTTTTGCACTGAGATGAGCTCTTTTTCTATCAGACCTGACGGAGCATCATGTGACCAACTCAGCTCTGGCCCTGGTGGACGGGGAGCTGTGGCCTCTCCACAGGCCACTCACCCACTCCTGCTCACTCACACTGCTCACATTTAAAGACAGTGACCCAACATTGGTCAACCAGGTATTTTTAAAACTTAAATCAAACCAATAAAAACCATGCAGTGATTCACCTGCAACAGAAACAGGGTAACATGTATGACCTTTCTCTGCATATGTTTACTTGCCATTTGTCTTAGTTCTCAATTGTGGCTCACCAGTCCAATAACTAATAACTTCCTTAAGCCTTGTTGTGCTCAGTCCATATCTCCCACCTGTGTCTGTGTGTAAATATTCTTACAATCGGCATAAATGCAGGTAGAACAGGGAGTCAATCAGTCACTTAGTTTGAACTGTGACTATGTCCTCTTGTCTTGTCCTGCCAGGCCTATTGGCGTTCCTGTGCTGCCCTTCTGGGTCAGGTCCTGGAGACTGCGTTCAAAGACGACTTTACTGTAGAGCTGCTCACCATTCCAGAGGTGCCAGGTAGAGGCACTTCTTTATGTCTCAGCAACTGTCAGAGACCAGAAGAATTTGTCTGTGCTCAGTAAATCAGTGAGGATCCTTGCTGCACTGCCAGGGCTAGTTTAAATGCAGTGTCCTCTTCTTTCCTGTTCTCGGGCCTTAACAGTAGTTGTCATAGTTCGGTGAAAATGAACATTACACCTTTAGCCTGATTTAACATGATTCCTGGCAGGTGTTTTTTTTTTTTTTTTTTTTTAGTTTACTCTTTTAAAAAGAAACTGTTAAACTCTGATAGGAGGTCATAATTTGTTTTAACCTAATGTGTCTCCCTGCAGTCACTTCAGGAGCCTTCTGCTGTGACGTGGTGCTTGACCCTCAGCTGGACTCGTGGACTCCCTCTGAGGTGTGTATGCTCAAATGCTCAGTTAAATCTCTGCAGTCACATCTATTATTATTGTCTGGTGCGTGTTGAGCAGGAGATATTTATCCTCCTGGGTGGTTTTTCACTCCTTGTAGATGGAAGACAAGTTGTGTCTTAGTCCACCACCCCTATTTAGTGAGGGGTGTTCTATTTGGACAAAAATAGCTTCCTTGACTCCTCTCTCAAACCAGCGATGTTCTCTGGAGAGGATCTGGACTTCACTGTCCTCAAAAGAATGTCCTTTGTCCTTCAGGTGGAGGTGAACTGCTGATTCTGGTCCACTGGACTTGGCCCTCCTGTGTTGAGCCATGCGTTTGTGAAGCGACTGCTTAGTTTCACCAATGTACAAGTCGTTACACTCCTGACTACACTTAATGGCATACACCACATCACTCTGTTTATGTCTGGGTGTTTTGTCCTTAGGGTGGACCAGTCCCCTGCTGCAGGGTGTTCTCTGGTTTAAAGTTGATTGGGATATTGTGGTTGCAGAATATCCTTTTTAATTTCTCTGATAAACCAGCCACATAAGGGATGACAGTGTTATCCCTTCTTGTTTCTG